CACTCAAATTTTAATCATAAGTTCACACCTCAACCCTGAACAGATTCATGTAAGAAAATACAAAAATGGGTGCAATAGCGCCCCCTGGAAAATTTGTATGTAAAAATGAGGTTTTATTTGTCACAGATATACAAAATTTGGTATCTACATTTGCGACATGGTCTCGATTAAAAAACTCAATGATGCTCACATCCCATTTACATTGTGTTGCCATGGCAACAAGCCAAAATTGTATCCTTGCCAATGGGACGTCCTTACACAAACGTTGGCGTAGCCAAACCAAATTTGGTATCCACATGCATCATGGCAATAAGAACAAAAATTTATATTGTGACCACGCCCCTTTACAAACCGGAAGTCCGCCATCTTTGATTTATTTATTTTTGCCAAATTTTGAAAATTGCAGAAAATTAAATTTAAGATTTTTAGGTTTAGGTTTGGGGCTATGGTTAGGATTATGATTAGGGTAAGGTTTAAGTTTAGGATTATTAGGGTCAGTGTGAGGCGCGGCGTTTGCGGGGCGCGGCGTGAGCGCACGCGAGGGCCGATCATCGCCGCTTGCGGCTATATTTATTATTATTATTATTATTATTATTATTATTATTATATTATATGTTATAATTTTTTTCAGTGTTTGTTAAGGGTGTGTGTGGGGAGGGTGAATCGGGGTTTGGGAATGGGGAGGAGTGGGTTTAAATGTGGCATTTGTGTATTTGTACATCTTGTGGCATTATTTTGCCGTAAGACCACAATATAGGAAAAAATATATAAAAAATTAAAAATTAAATATATATGACAAGAAAAATATTACACAATGGTTTGTTCTAGTTCAGAACCTTATCAAACTCTTTTTAAAAACCTGCAGAAGAGGATTATACTATATTAAAGATGCATTGTGTAACTTTTCTTTCTCTTTAAACCTTTCTATCTTCATGGAAACCAAATCAGACCAATGTACAGGTCATGTCTGTGGAGAGGCGACCCTGCTCACAGTCAGAATGTCTGTTTTTGTAAGTATTTTTGAGCTTTAAAACCACCTGTAATTGAATAAATCTAAGGTAGAGCTCTTTAAAGTCATACTGTGGAACATTCCAGGCAGAGCAATAACATAGAAACAAGTACGTGAAGGAGCCCCAACCAAAAAGTTACATAGTGCAGCTTTAAATTAACATTAATATATGTATCTCCATAGACATTTTATTGCTTTTGCCTTCAGTATGACATTAAATCGTCTATGTGAGGAACAAAAAAAGTCTATATATATCTCCATGGAGAGTTATAGATAAGATCTGTGGAGAGGCAACCCCACTCACAGTAAGAATACAAGTTTTAGAATGATGTTATTTTTGTGCAATAAAAACATTATACATGCTGTGGAATATTACAACATTTCAGACTTTGCGATGAGTATTCAGCACAGTTACACAATTATCAGGCGTAATAGGTCATTTCTTCATCGCTCACTCATTGGAGGTCTGGGTTCGTGGCCCCTGGGAGCCGCTGGGAGGCCCCAGGAGCCCCTGGGAGCCCCTCTCTCTGATGTGAGCACAGAGGCAGATGAGAGCTGACAGTTACACACTCTGATGAAGTAGATCTGATCACAAAGAGCAGCGGCCGATCAGCGGGAGAGGGGGAGGAAGAGGAAGAGGAGGAGGAGGAGGGACTATGGGAGGACAGGGGGGAGGAGGAGAGGAGGGACTATGAGGAGGAATGGGGGGAGAAGTTAAAGGAAGGAAGCAGGAGGACCAGAGGAGGGACCTGACCAGCCAGTCCCTTCTACATTCTGTTTGGATCCATAAGAGACTTGTTGATTCTGAGAAAATTCATGCTGTTTTCTTCCCTTTTTGATGTGTTTATTTATTTATTTATTTATTTATTTTTTACAGAAAATGCATCACTCTGATTGGTTAATCCGCCTGTCAATCACACCCTCTGAAGTCAATGACACAGGACACAGCTCGTCTTTGTAAAGTTTTGTCAAAGCGTGTGGTTCTGGTTGGACAGGTAAATGGGAGGAACTATGGAGAGCAGGGGGAGGAAGAGGGAGGAAGAGGGAGGAGGAAAGGAGGGGCTGTGGGGGACATCATCGGTGAATAAAGTACCGGAGCAGACTGGTGTACAGTTTGATGTGGTCACTTATCTGTGCATGAGTGTCTTTGGCTGATAAATCACCTGCAGTGTGTGGATCCAGTTAAAGGCGGCTGGAGAAGAGCCAGACTGTGCAGACTTCTCCAGAACATTAAACATTCGGAGAGGTCTATAGTTTCAAACTGAGCTGGAGGGCCATTTATAACTGTCACACACTCAAACTGCATTTTGAACTGATGAACCTGTGCTGTTCTTATCTAATACAGATTAAGACACATTTGGTACAATATGTCCTCGGCATTTGACCCATTTTTGAAAGCCTCTGGGGCATCTCCTGCAGAGCAGTGGGATCTGCTGCACCCAGGGACACATCTCCAGCAAGTCTTGGTCCGACAGTCCAGGACTTTCACTGACTGGACTCATGACACCTGTTAGGTGAAATTTCAAAAGTCACAAAACAGCACATGAATAATGTGAGACCAAACTGGTTTAAAAAAAAAAAAAAAAGTGTGATTTGAGCATCTGAACAGTGGTGTTATCGTGCTCAACAGAAAATTACACACACACACATATATGTATGTGTATATATATATATATATATATATATATATATATATATATATATATATATATATATATATATAATATATATATATATATATATATATAGATATATAGATATAGATAGATAGATAGATACACACACACACATACATAATTATATATTATATTATATATTTAATTATGGATTTTTGGTTGTAAATGAATTTGTAGTCATTTGAGAAAAACATAGAAAAATATAACATAAATAGAATGAGAATGTGAATTTTTTTTTCTTTATTTTTTCTTTAAAAATAAAATAATTATCATAATTATTATTATTAATATTATTATTGACAGTATTATAATTATGAATATTATTATTGATAATGTTATTTTATTATCAATGAATTAATACAATTTATAAATACAAATATATTGTTCATTATAATTGTAATATATATATATATATATATATATATATATATATATATATATATATATATATATATATATATATATATATATGTTTCATATATAGCCTTGTAATTATAATTTTTTAACAAAAATAATTTCAAAGTATTGTAATGTAAATAAACCCCACATTATAAAAACAATATTACGGCCTATTGTCCAGCACAGGTTAGTTCATATACACATCATAATATTTCATTACAAATACTGAACTTAAGTCTAATGCAAGTGTCTGTAAAAAGAAACATTATACTCTGCTCTGCAGCTCGGTAGCTCTGAACGGTTTTTTCTTGCGTTCGCGGTGCCTCGGAGCGTGAGGCCCGGGCAGAGGCTGCAGCGCGCGGCCTGTCTGTGGAGGTGGACACGGCTTTATCCCCGAGCAAACAGAGGGAGGTCCGGTCCTAATGAAGGCGTGAAAACCCACAGCGCACCCGTGACAGAGTTTATGCGCACAGCTGGAGGCCAAACCAACACTGTCCATCCACCGCGGCCTCAGGTGCAGCAGCGGCCCGGAGCAGCAGCAGCGGCCGGGGAAGACTGTCCAGCCATGGCCAGGCATAGAGCGCGGGCCACGGGGGCCAGACCTGCACTGGGGCCTTCAAAATACCACAGGCCTTTGTTTGAAAATGTTTCCTCATTGTTAAAACTTAAAGCGTAAAATACACGTGCGTAACAGAAGAGTATAAATGATTCTCTTGGCAATATTTTTTTAATGTAGCTTGGGCTAAATATGCAGCTGCAGGGAAACTTCTCAGGGAGATTTCTCAGGGAGATTTCTCTCACCCCGCGTGACCTCTGCAATAATCTTTAAGTCACACCAGAACCAAAGCAGTCTTCCTCCAGTGTGCCGAGTGCGCACAGACCCCAGGCTGCGCCGCTCTCCTCCGCTGCACAGACCACTGCTGGGGCTCCCAAATCAAACTCCTGCTCCTCCCGAAGCCGCCGCTGATTGGCTACCTGCGCGCGTCCTCCCGCGCTCCCTCGTGCACCCATTACGCACACTTTACGTTCACAGCACACAGAGCTCAGTGCGAACAGAGCGGCTCAGAGCGCACCGCTGCGTCTCTCTCTGCGCGCTTTTCCTTTTGGATTGTAGCTGCGCCTCTTTAACATATTCACCACGTCATCCTGAAGGTGGAACATGGGCCGCGGACTTTAGTATAAAACGAGTGCGGGCGCAGACAGGAGCAACAGAACTAGTCTCTCTGCGCACTGCACCAGGAGCTTTTCTTGCTCCGGACCGGACAGTGACTGATCACAGGTGAGTGACGGACACAGGATGCGTAGTGCGGGGCTTTGTGGCGTGTGAACGGGCTGATGCACCGGGAGTGTCTCCGCTCGCACCTCGGTCCACTGTATGTAAATGTCTCTGTCTCTTCTCCGTGGAGTTGATTTATTGCACTGCTCCATAAAGCGAGACCCGGGGGCGCGGGCCCTGAACTGTACTCACAAAGGCGCATCAGAGACAAGCCGGCGCATGTAAACCCTAAAACTATTTGGAATAGTTGACAGCTCCGGCGCGCGCTGGAATGAGGGGAGTTCCTCTGGCTCGGCTCATTTGGATACGCACGAGCCGCGCTCACGCGGGATGCTCCCGGTGCCTCCGGGAACGTCTCCACCTCACTCCTCAACAGAAGCTGCACAAACACACGGGCACGAACACCCTGGCACGAGCCTGCTTTAGATCTATAGTAGCCGAAAGTTTCAGGTGCAGCGGGAGAGCGCTGGTGCGTGCGCATGGCTCAGAGCTGGCCGCGCGCTCTCTGGTAAATGTTTTGGTGATTGTGTGTTTTCCTCAAACAGAAACAGAAGAGAGGAGCCAGCGCACGAGATTGTACCGGGTCAGACACAGAGGCTTACGCACGCTTTACGCACGCTCGCAGGTGGATGGTGGGAAGATGTTCCAGTTCGGGGTGCTGTCGGCGCTGGTCACTGCGCTCACGTCTCTGCTGTCCGCGGTGCTCCTGCTGGCCGTGACCCGGTCACTGTGGAGCCTCCGCTGGAGCCTGACCCGGGACAAGGACAGCAGCCTGCCGCTGCCCAAAGGCTCCATGGGCTGGCCGCTGGTGGGGGAGACCTTCCACTGGCTCTTCCAGGTGAGTGTGGCCACCTCTGTCCATTTTTGTTCATCTCAAGATAATATTCAAAGTCATGTTTCATTCAGCGCACTGTTCGCTTTCACGTCGTGCGTGCTGACTTTGGGAGACAGTTCTGAAGCGGTGCGCAGTGACATGTGTGGACTTGCTGTGAACATCTTTGTCTCTCAGGGCACAAAGTCAGGCGTTTTCCTTGCACTCTGTCCGCCTCTCGCTCTGCCTCCGCCCGCAGAGGTGAGGAGGGCACGGGCGCTCGCCCCGTGCGTCTCGGATCTGCGCGTGCGATTTGCCCACTTTTAATTGAATTCAATCAAGCGCGTTTCACTAGCGCCGAGTCTTTTCTCTCTACACACTAATCCGATTTTTCATTGTAGCCAGAGCCTCCCTCCACCCGAGAGTTTGGAGCGTTTTGAAAAGGTTAAATCCTAAAGTGTAACGCAGATTATCGTGCTCCCTCCGCAGGGGTCCAACTTCCACATCTCCCGCAGAGAGCGCCATGGGAACGTGTTTAAGACGCATCTTTTGGGGAAGCCGGTGATCCGAGTGACAGGAGCGGAGAACATCCGGAAGATTCTCCTGGGAGAGCACAGCCTCGTGTGCACGCAGTGGCCCCAGAGCACGCGCATCATCCTGGGGCCCAACACGCTCGTGAACTCCATCGGAGAACTGCACAAGCGCAAGAGGAAGGTACGAGCCGCGTTTATTTAAGACAAACTACACCTCTCTCTCTCTCTCTCTCTCTTTCTCTCTCTCTCTCTATATATATATATATATATATATATATATATATATATATATATATATATATATATATATATATATATATATATGTTGTGAATGAGTTTTTGAAGAGAGATAGTTCATTTAAATAAACAAAACTGAGGGTAAAAGATTGTATTTCCAGAGAATTCACACTTAGATGTAACAAGAGCATTAATCTCAATTGTCACCATAAGACTTATGTCAAAAACTGAACCTTAAATTTAATCATTAACAAATATTTTGTTCGTAAATAAATCAACATTACAATTTTATCAGTAAAAGAAACTATGAACTTATTGTTGCATTTAATCACCTTGCAGTCATAGTTTTAAATAGAACATTTTAACTGTGAAAGACATTCTTGGTTTTACAGATTTTGGTCTTACCAAGATTTTGGTGAATTGTGAAGGAATTGTCAACCATTTCTAAACCTGATTTATGAAAGTTTTAACTCAAAGAACAGATCTAGATATCCTAAATGCACTCTGTGCCTTTTTTTAATCTAAGTCAACAAAAGGAATGAAGAAATGTGAAACTGGCTCAATCCATTTTTCAGATTTACACATAATACAAAATGCAAAAATGCAAAATGTGATCTAAAAATTGGAGTTCTAGTAGTAGTCACTTGCACAAGGCTCAACCAACAAACCTACATAACCAGGAAGCTCTCCGACAATTTCCAAACATTTACCAGAGCATGATAGAAAACAATGCACTACAACTTCACAATCCTGACGCAATAGTTTCATTAACAGTGTTGCACTCTGAAGGGCTTGTTAGAGTTAGACTCAAAGCATCAAAAACAAAACTAAAATGTATCAAACTTATAATAGGTTGTTTTTGGTGAAAGCAGCGTTGTGTTAGCAGTTAATACCCCACAGAAGTGTAATAATACCCCCTGTTTAAAATCATCTCCCCTCCACCTGCAGTGAGGTGGCCTTAAACCGCCCTCTGGTTTGAATCCGCACGGTGATGTCAGGTGATGTTATCAGGTGTCAACAGTGTCTGGCTCGTTTGTAGGAGCGCTTGTTTTACAGTTCTTTCCCTCTGTATCTGCTCCATCTGCCCCGCCCGCCTCTGCTGCTGCTGCCCCCCTCGTCTCACTGTGTCCTCTGGGGGGGGGGGCATTTTATGACTGAAGACTGGAGTCCTCATGAGAAACAGATGCAGAGTCTTATGAACGATCTCAGAAGAACATACGATGGAAAAAATTGTGTTTAAATCACCAAAAACAATATAATAACATGCTTTATACTGTATGTTTCAATTTCGCTTTTGATGCTCTGAGTCTCCCTTCCCTTTGCTCCCTACATTAAGTCAGTCCCCCTTCAGAGCACTATCACAACACAATCAGCGTGTGTCTTGATAATGAAACTACTACACTTCGCATCAGTTTTGTCAGACTGTAGTGTAGTTTTGTATAATGTTTTTGTACAGAGGGACGTAGGTATAAGGAGGGTTTGAATAGAGATCACTAGATTACTCAAACATGCATGGATTGGATGACGTCTAAAACCTCTTCAGGCATGTTTTTGATTTTGTTATAACATGGTAGAAAGCTAAAAACCTATTGACAATATTATAATGTGATGCCTGGCTCTCAAATGTCTGTTTTCACCTACCCCCTATCCCCACCCACTGCTCTGTTCTTATATTTATTTTAAAGATAATTCAGACTTGGGGTAATACATGTTCAAAAATGTTCGAGATGTGTGGAGATACTTTTTGAAATATTGCATCCAGTCCTTGTATTTGCAGAGGTCGCTGGTGCTAGGCTAGTGTATGTCAATGGCCATAGTTATCCTGTCAATAAAAACAGTCTTAGCCACTCCACAAAACACCCAAAACAAATCTATTATTACACCAGACTGTCCATGTGAATGTGTGTGTCGATAGAATAATGTTTAAAATAAAACTAACCTTGAATCGCATGAATCGCATGTTGAGGGACTATTTTCTCATATATCAATCCGCTGCTGCCAAGCTTTCTATCAGGAAGTACAACTGCTTACACATAAATCCTACAAATGCAAGGTAGGTTTTACTTCTACAATTATTCAATCGACACAGACATTTACATGGACAGTCTGGTGTAATAATAGATTTCCTTGGGGTGTTTTGTGGAGTGGGTAAGAGTGTTTTTAGTGGCAGGATAACTATGGCCATTGACATACACTAGCCTAGCACCAGTGACCTCTGCAAATACAAGGACTGGATGGAATATTTCAAAAAATGTTTCCACACTTCTCCAACACTGTGGCTCACTAGGAAAGGAGGTCCTAGGAGGTCCTACGTCCAAAATTCCGAACTGTCCCTTTAATACTAAAAAGCATAATACATCATCTTTAAACTTTTGTTATGAAGGCAAATGTTAGGCTCCTAAATGGATCTGAGGTCAAAGTCCAAACACAACCACACACATGTAGTAGAAGAGCTCCTAAAAGGCCTCTGTTGTCTCCTCAGATCCTGGCCAAGGTGTTCAGCCGTGGGGCCCTGGAGTCGTACCTGCCCCGGCTGCAGGCGGTGGTGAAGCTGGAGCTGCAGAGGTGGTGCAGTGAGGAGGGCCCCGTGGACGTGTACAGCGCCGCCAAAGCTCTGACTTTTCGCATCGCCATGCGAGTCCTGCTGGGGCTGCAGCTGGAGGAGGACAGACTCATGTACCTCGCCCAGACCTTTGAGCAACTCATGAACAACCTGTTCTCTCTGCCCATAGACGCCCCTCTCAGCGGCCTGCGCAAGGTACGTCTCTGCATGAGCTCCACTAGAGGGCGCACTGCTGAGTTTAGAACTGTCAAACCATATGCACAATATATGTCAATAATGTTTGGCGAAAACTTTAAAGTAACCTTATATTGATTTATTCACTCACTACCCATACTCTGGGATGATAAAATAATACTAGGGATGTAATGATATCCAAATCTCATGGTACGATGTTATTACGATATGCATCTGACGGTACATTATTTATTGTGATAGTTTGGAGACGCTAATGTAATTGTAGATGAGACACTTTTTTTTCTTTTAAAATACCCTGACAAGATTTTGGTGTGAATTATTTCTGTCATAATCCCAAGAATTCAAGTCAAAAACATATTTCTTCATGTTGTCTGCGCTGAATTGAATTATGGGATATGTAGTTCCTGATGTTCATAAGCTGTTGCTACTATAAAACCCTGAATTTAAGCAAAGAAACTTGTAATTCAATATACTGTGACAGTCCAGGATTTTATTGAGAGTTTTGACGATACAATATCACAATTACATTATCTAGGGATGTACCCCTAGATAATACTGTAGCCACAGCTGCCCTGGCACTGACTAACAAAGACATGGATGCCAATGTGCATCTGTGCTAACCATATTTGTACACAGCAGCAATGAGCTGAGCTCAAACTGCCAACTGTCTGGTTATAAGACTGACTCTATTACCTCTCACCCCATCCCACTGTTGATGTCAGACAGTCCTCCACTAGAGGGCGCTGCATTTTTCACTATAACAGCATGAAGAGTGTGAACAGAGTCTAAAAAGTTGTCACGCTTACGTCACAACCCCGGAAGACATTTGGAAACATGTGATGACAGCTTCCGGTGTAGTTCCCAACAGTGGGCTCGAAGACCAACTGTGATCAAACCCACTGAAGTAAATGTGTTCAGCGGTAAAATATAGACTGCAGACATATGTGCTGTTTGGAATCATCTGGAATTTGTTGCCATCATCTCTTCTAATCACATGTACCAGTGCACTCAGAGTTGTGTGTCAGTGGGGAAATGATGAAAACTGAGGTATAGTTGGAAGTGATGATTAGTCGTACATAATGGAACACTACAATGACATGGAGATGAAGAAAAGTGGGCCATTTTCAAATTTTTCTTAGACTTTGTCAGACTTACAATGGTGAACAGAGCCCACCGGAAGTTGTCATTGCATGTTTCCAAACATCTTGCTGGTTTGTCAATGAACGCCCAGAAATGATGAAAATTTTAACAAAATTATTCTTATATCAACATTTCTACTCAATTATACAAAGAGTGCAAAAAGCATTTGAGATAGTTGATCTTCACACTACTCTCTTTCTCTCTCTTTCTTATGGGACAGATAAAATCATTTCCCATGAAAACGCCTCAAAATAAATCCAAAATACATCCCTGTCAGTATGGAGCTTGATGGTGCATCTCCTGGAGCTCTGTACGTTGAACTTCTGATCTTTGCGTTATAGAGTCTGAGCTCCACGTGTCCGTGAACATGAACTTGTAACACACACAACCTTTTAGACAGCTCCAAAGAGGATGATGCATAGAGTTGTAAACTATCCATTCCTTGTGTCCAGGGCATAAAGGCCAGAGAGATCCTCCACGCAAACATGGAGAAGATCATCGAGGAGAAGATGGAGCGTCCACAGACAGATGAGGAGTACAACGATGCTTTCGACTACATGCTCTCCAGCGCCAAGGAGCACGGCCAGACCCTCAGCATACAGGAGCTCAAGGTGCGGTCAACAGTTTAGACCAAGTTTAGCTCCAGTTAAGATCTGATTGAGTCCTGGTTTAGTCCTAGATTTCACTTGGTTTAGTCCTGGTTCTTGTCTTACTCAAGGTACTTCATTCAGGATTTAGTTTTGCTTTAGGTTAGATTGATTTAGTTCCATATCCAAATTATACTGTGCCTGGGATCCAGAATACACACTTCTTCAATACTTTCTAAAATTAAAAAACAAAAGCTTACAAGATCATTCTTCATGTGTGCACAATCTTGAGATGATTTTATCTTGTGAGATCTTTTGGCATGAGAAGCTTTTGCCTACTTCCTTAGAGCTTTATTGTAGGCCTGTCACAATAATTATATCTACTTATCATTCAATACACAACAAATGGAACAATACTTTTTGGGGGTCAATATTTATCGTGTGTACCTTTCTTTGGACTAGTATGAAATGTTTTGTTATTTTTTGGTAATACGATACAATTTAAGAACTTCTATGACTCATTATAGATACAAACTAATTACTGTGCATTCTTCAGTTTATATCTTGGAGATATTTTTGGCCATACTGTACAGGGTGCACCAATACCTGTTTGTTTCTATGGATATGTCATTGCTCTGTCTGGAATGTTCCACAGTATGACATTAAACAACTCTACCTAACATTTATTCAGTTACAGGTGGATTTATGGCTCAAAAATACCAACAAAAACAAACATTCTGACTGTGAGTGGAGTCGCCTCTCTACAGATCTGACCTGTAACTTGATCTGGTTTGGTCTCCGTGATGATAGAAAGGTTTAATGCCATACTGTGAAACATTCCAAAAAAAGCAAAAAAAGAGAAAAGCGTTTGACGGACCCTCCACCAGAAAAGTTACACAATGCACCTTTAAAATAGAATAGAATTTGAGTATAATCCTGCTTTAGGGTTATTGTTTCATTGTTTGTTTATCATCTATATTATAATATAATATAATTAGGGGTGTGCAAAAATATTGAAATTTCGATATATCTTATCATTTAATGTGATGACACAGTATCGATATCGTGGGCTGCTGTATCGATGTATCGCCTGCAGTATTTTTTGGTATATTTTACTCAATTATTTTGTTACAGCTACAGTCTTGTTGCTTGTTTAGTGGAAAGAAATTAGTTTCTGTAACACGTTTGACATTCTCACTGTTTTGATGATTAAATGTTTGTGTTTCATATGAACTTTGCACAAGAAGTGGTTTAACGAACACTTTTAGTATCACAGCCATGATTTAGACTTTATTTTTTATTGAACCGTACAGAATCGTTCTGAAATATATCATACCAAATCGAAAGTGCTTTGTATTGGGATATGTATCGTATCGTGACCTATGTATCGAGGAATGTATTGTATCAGAAACTTCTTTATGATACCCAGCCCTAAACATAATATAACTTCAAAATTGGATTGGATTTGTTGTGTTAACCCCCCTCTCCTTCGTCTTTCCAGGAGACAGCGGTGGAGTTGATCTTTGCAGCCCACTCCACCACAGCCAGCGCCTCCACCTCACTGGTCCTGCAGCTCCTCCGTCACCCAGCCGTGGTGGAGCGAGCGCGGGCAGAGCTGGAGGCTGAGGGTCTGGGATATGAGGCCCACCGGAGCAGCTGTCCTGTCAGTGTGACCACAGAGAGCGAGGAGGCCTCAGAGAGCACCCACCTTCTGAACGGAGGGAGCCAACAGCCCCACGCCGAGGTCCCTGAAGTTCCCCGCTCCCACATCCCTCCCCTGAGCCTGGACAAGCTCAGCCATCTGCGCTACGTGGACTGTGTGGTCAAAGAGGTGCTCAGATACTTGCCGCCAGTGTCCGGGGGATACCGCACAGCCCTGCAGACTTTTGAACTGGACGTAAGTCACTGTTTGTTTTTATGATGTGGTTCAGATGAGGATTGGGGGTAACATTCTCTAGCAACTACATTTTTTAAGAGTATTAACGGTGTATTGTGTAACTTTTCTGGCAGAGGGTACTTCAACTGTGGAGATGTTTGGTCTGGAATGTTTCACAGTATGGCATTAAACCTTTGGTAAATGGTCACATTTTTATATAGTGCACTCAAAGCGCTTTACTCACCCATGCACACGCACATTCATACACCAGTGTACGCAGACACTAGGGGCAAGGTGGGTTAAGTGTCTTGCCCAAGGACACAACAACAACATTCATCTGAGGGAGCTGGAATCACTCCTCCAACCAATGATGTTTTTATGTCGAGAGCAGGAATTCGAACCTCCAATCTTCAGATCAGTGGACAAAAGCTCTCACCAACTGAGCTACTGCTGCCTCCTTTCTATCTTCATGGAGACCAAACCAGACCAAGTTACAGGCCAGATCTGTGGACAGGCGACCCCGCTCACAGTCAGTCTGAAATAAATGTAAGGTAGAGCTGTGAAAAATCCAAGTAGAATCCATAGCAAAAGAAATTCAATTTGTCAGCTGGAGAAAGTTTATTTGGTCGAACTTCTCCTTTGCCATAAGGTAGAACTGTTTAATGTCATACTGTGGAACATTCCAGGTAGAGCAAGGACATCTCCGTTTAAAATTTAAGCAGAAACTAAACCAACCAACCTGAACCATTCTAAATCAACTATTACATAATAACTGTTAATTATGAATCAAACTGTTCCCTCATAAAAAGCATGCCTGAGGTTTCATCCTGTGATCTCTCTCCGCCCTTTTCAAACCCTCCTTATGGCCGTACAAATATAACATTTTCAACGCAATAAAACGTAACATGGTGATCTAAATATTCGGTATCAGTTATTACCCCGTAGAAGCATAGTACCCCCTATTCAAGGTGGAGGTATAATTAAGTGGTATTATAAAGTGGATATATGGTTATTTTCCTCATTTTTCTCAATCTTGATATTCAGTTTAATCACTATAATCGTCATTGATGCTTGGGTCTTATTAATCAAGAGGGATGGACTTTAGAGGAATAATTAGGCTATTTTTGGAGTTAAATGGCTCTGGTTTTATGTTTTGAAAAGTAGAAAATGTATAAAATAAAAATGAAGATTGATCAATATGAGGAAAAAACAACTGTAGTGCTTTTTTTTGGCCATTTTGCGCATTCCTAATCCAATGAGTGTAGTAATCATAGACTGTATATAAATGGACATAGCTTTTAACCGTTGGAAACATGTGATGACAACTTCCAGTGTAGTTAACGACACTAGGATCGCCGACCGACTGTGATAAATTGTGCCGTTTAATTGTGTATGGTTGTAATTGTTGATTAGCCGAACATAACGGAACGCTACAATGACATGGAGATGAAGAAAACTGGGACATTTTCTCGTTTTTCTTTGATTCTGTCAGACTTACTACGAACAGATCCCAAAGGAAGTTGTCATCACAGGTTTCTAAAGGCTGTCCTGGTTTGTGACGTAAACGTGAATAGAGTTTATTGTGTCCGTGCTTGCCTGTATGAACATTAATAACAGACAAATCAGGAGCCTTCTTGCCCTGAGGTCCCTCCCACTTGTGTTAGCAACAGGTTTGATTGACAGTGTTGCAAAGCGCCCGCCCCCCACCAAACCCAACGGGGCAGGTTACCAGTACCTTCAACCACCTTGCTCCTGAATAGGTCTTTGGCTGCTATAAAACACTTGCTCAGAATGTTGAATGTGGAACCCAGCTCCAGATTTGCCTCAATGAGCTTCATTTGGCTGGAGCTGAGCTTTATGGCTGACCTCACGCTCCCACAGTACACTTGTTTATACAGTTTATAAAGTACTAACCCTTTTTGTGTCCTCTTCTGCAGGGTTACCAGATCCCCAAAGGCTGGAGCGTCATGTACAGCATCCGGGACACGCACGAAACCGCCGCCGTCTTCCAGAGTCCGGAACAGTTCGACCCCGACCGCTTTGGCCCAGACCGCGAGGAGAGCCGGGCGTCTCGCTTCAGCTACGTCCCGTTCGGCGGCGGAGTCAGGAGCTGCGTGGGCAAAGAACTGGCTCAGATCATCTTAAAGACTTTGGCGGTGGAGCTGATAGGGACGACCTCATGGACACTAGCCACAGAGGACTTCCCCAAGATGCAAACTGTGCCAATCGTGCACCCGGTCAACGGACTGCACGTCAAATTCAGATACAACTACCCCCTTTAGACACTGAGCCCATGTTGTCAAACACTTTGGTTAAGAGGCTGATGTGTGACTTGTGAAAAGAGGACATCTACACGTTCTCGCCGGTGATCTTCAGATTCAGTTTGTCACCGCTCTTCAAATTCAGTTGGACAAAGCTGGTCTGTGATTAGTGGACATCTACGTGTTCCTGTATCTTGCTGATGTTCTGAGCTAGTCCACCTCACATTGTGGCCTGTCTACTCAGCTCCTACTTGATATCTTCTCCATCAGAACCGGTTCATCTACATTTAATCGGACACAAAGTTGGTCTATGACTGGAGGACATCTTCAGGTTCCTGTATCTTGCTGATGTTCTGAGCTAGTTCTTTTCACATTTTGGTTTATCTGCTCAGCTCCTACTTGATATGTTCTCCATCAGAACCGGTTCCCCTGTGTTAAGCTGGACGCAAAGCTGATCTGTGATTGGTGGACATCTGCATAGTGACAGTACACACCACTCATCAAGCCTTTAAGACTGTTCTATGTAAATGCATTTAACTTATTAACAGTTTAGAGTCAGAGCTGCACTGGCTTTACGTTATGAAGACTGGACTTGACCCTTGACATGGTTTCCGAGATAACAGACTGCAGACCACTTCAAACACAAACCATTCCGTAAACTATTCCAACTATGTAACTGCTCACTGTAGCGCCTCATGTTCCAAAAAAAACGTGCCTTTTATTTGTTTTAACCACTGTTATCGACATAGCTATGCGTTCACGGAGTATGACCGGTAGTTACCATGACGACGGTGCGGACTCGTTGCCGGTCAGAGCACCTCCACAAACCCCCTTGGATGGAACTTGCACTTGACTTTTCACACGATATATTCTAAAGACTTTTTCTGAATGTGTTTCGCATTCTTACCAGTGCTGTTATTTGTGTATCAAATGAAGTAGTGTTATAAAATAAGCTGTATTTAAAAATGCAGATGTATGATTTGTAATGTCCGCCATCTGTAAACGATTCTTTGCTGCAGTTTTTTAGATAGAAAGACTAACCTCTGTGCCCACCTAGTACAAGTGTAGACTTCTGTAAGTAGACAGAGATATAATTATTCTTTAAGTGTTGTTATTGAAGCTTGATGCGCTGTGAACTGTGACATGGACGGAGCGTTAATGGAAGGAGATAGCACTTTCTCCGCTATAAGGAGTCTGTATATAGGATCATGTTTATGTTTACTGAGTTGTAGCTGCTGTACAGTTAATGTAAAGAGTAAATTAGAAGAAGAATAACTATAGCGTTTTGTGTGTTTGTCTTTGTGAACTCTGTCTATCCCTTCTGTACTGACACAGAAAAATGTGTTTTGATTTTCTATTTAAACCATTCAATAGGTATAATTGGGCTTCTGTAATCCACATTTGGCTTCGATAGAAAGGATAAAAATGAAATGGACCATTATCTTTGAAAAGGGAACACTAGCTTGTGATGTGCAGAAACATATCCCCAAAAATCTGATGAGACAGAGGAGCTGCTGAGCCAAGGGTTGGCGTTTCCAGAGAAGGTAATTCTCGGAGGATAGATAGCCGACAGCAGCATTAGCTCCACTGCCCTCGTAGCAGTAATGGTAGCACACACAAGCTTTTATCTGATTCTAGAGCTCCTTACTTAACATCAACACGTCATTAAAGGGGTCAGTGCAGTGGTCAGTGGAGAGGTCAGCAGGCATGTCCGGCCTCAAACCGGCCGCCTTCATTGACAAACAGAGAATGGGGTGAAGTTATGTGGCAGAAAATGAATGGGACACAAACAGCCTGGCCTAATTATGTCCACAACAGGGCCCCGTAGCTCTGACGAGGTCGTTATCTGATGGACACTCAGCCACTGTGAACTTGGCAACGTTTTGAACCAGGGTTCACTGCTGTGCCACCAGCCACACAGGTCAGCGACCGGTCAGCTCATGGGAGGGTGCATGGGAACGGGAGAGGGACAGCATGGGCGCCAGTAACATTACACAACACCGACCAATCTCACCAAGTCTGATCTGTAAGAGCCCCTGTGCCAGGACTTACACTTCACACTGACCTATCTGCATATGTCTCCATGATAGACATTATACACTAGTAGTATGGAAGTAGTACGTAAAGTCATGTTTTTTTAAAATTAAAAATGTAATAAAAATACTGTAATTCTGTTTTTATTAGCCAACATATTTCATCATCATTAGATCTCATCAATTAAAGTGGAAATTCTTAAGTCAGAATGAGATTTAAAATGTTTGCACCAAGACTATCATAATGATAGGATTCATTGTCAGTTTGACAAAAACACACGCATAATTATAGTGCAGTCAAAGTGTGGATTGCTGTGGTTGTCAGTACAAGTCTGTCTGAGTTGAGCCGAGCCCATCATGTGAACACAAACAGTGTGTGGTAAGAGGGCACAGAAAGGTAAGGCGTCGTGCCCTGAGCCTGATCACAACAATGTTGTCTTTAATTTGCTTGGGAGAGAGCGAGGGCGCGCAGAGGGCAGTGTGGGGTCAGGAGGGGGTCAGCTAAAAAAAGCTCTTGCACAGATTACAGAGATGAGACTGTCATCAGTCACCCCTCCATCAAAGACCATAATGTGAGTCAAATGTAGACGCAGTGGATGATGTAAGCAACAAAAGAAGCCGTTCACTTTGTCCAAACTGCACACGTCCATGGAAAGCCTCAGTGCTTTGATGAGTCCGGCACTCGGTGTACCACACACTCACTCTGAACTACTCGGCTGCATGGGCTCCCCTCATCTGCGTGTTTTCTGGTTCAAAGGCAGTTCTTCCATATGATAAGGGGCTGCCATTTGCCAAATGAGGGGGAAAACAGGGTCAGATGGTGAACAGGATAAAGTTCTTGGTGGCAAAGTTGTGCTCTATTCCACAGAGAAACATTTTTCTGAGCCTCTGTATTTGTGTTTTCTTCAAGAATATGCAAGTTTCAAGAATGATTTCTAGTTTTAGTTTCCAGTAGTCCGATAGTTTGATGAGTTTATCTGAACACATTTTGTGAGTCAGGAGAACCTTTCTTCAAATCAGGCAAATCATTGGAGTCTGAGTTATACTTTTAAAAAGCAGAAGAGCTAAAAGGCTTTTAAGAACGCTCTTTGCAAACAGAAGAGTTTAACATGTTCAGGATTCATTCACACATAGTGTGCTGCTGAGTGTTGCTTTCATTCCATACTTCACTTTTAAGTGACTTACTGGATGCCAGCATTAACAAGAGAATTGATGTTTAAAAAAATGAAATCTTGAGCAGTATGGACAGTGCTTTGGACATGAGTCTGTTCCAGAAGATGCTGTGTACTTCTCTTCTGTAGAGGGAAGTGTACATTTAAGGCATACTATCAATAGACAGATAATTACAGCAGCATTCATTATCAATAAATAGTTAACCAAAGACGAACCCCTGCCCCGGCCTCCTCGCCCCACACGCTCTGTACTTGTCCTGCTCACCTCCTCGCACTCGCTTGTGTTGGGCGCAGAACAATAGATACACATCAGTAATGATTCCTCTAAATGCCTGCTGCAGGTCATTGGGAGAGCACTTAATTATTATAATGAGGTAAAAGAGAGGTCTTTAGAGAAAAGTTAACCAATTGGTCCGTGGCAGTGGCGCAGTACAATGACCCACCCCGCCACCAAACAAACATGGGCAGGTCACCAGTCATTATACAAGTGTTCACAAGAGCGTGCACATGGGAGCAGTGCACACAACGGAAACACAGTTAGATGATACGTACAAAAAAAAAAAATCATTATTCAATTAGGCTGCTTATAATGACACAAAATATCTCCAGTTTAATTCATTGATTGACATTCTACACATAAAAACGAGTCCAGTGGTGAAGTCTATGGTTTTGAGTCGTGGTTTATGATTACATTTGTACAAATCTGTAATAGCTTTGGCGAGTTATTGCTTTCCAAAGGTGCACGGTTAGCCAAATCATGATAGTTGAGTGGGCATGCTTAGACTAGTTGATAGCTGGAAATTAATGAGTTGACGTAATTTTTTTCCAAGTAATAATTCTTCTCAAGTAGTGAGGTTGATAGATGTAATAAAATTTAATCCACCTAAGGACTAATATTGTAGTGAGTAATGATTCCACTAATATACGGATATTTTGGCTGTAACTAGTGGTTTAATGAATATGATAAACAGTAAGGGGGCGCGTGGGCGTCCTTGTCTTGTGCCTCTGTGCCCTGTGAAAGAATCACCTTTCATGGTTTTATCAGAATGTGTCAAAGACAGAGAAACCTGAAGAAATATTGCATCTCTTGATTTCTATAAATTATTATTTTTTTATTCCCCAAAAATGGGGAAAGAATGTCTGTGATGTGGTGTACATGCCCTTTTGTGGCATCTTCTAAATATCTGTCATTTTTTTCTAGTTTTCTTTACTGAAATGAATTCTACTAATGTACAAAGTTACTTATTGTAACTATATTGTGTGGGGAGGTGACACGTGTGTGTGTGTATCTGTGTGTTTAAATCTGTGTTTTGTTTCGTATTATATTTCACTTTGGCACTGCTGTCTGCTGTTAAATTCTTGAACTTGAGGACCCCCTTGAAAACTGGATGATTCATCTTAAGGAGTAATTCCTGTCAAGATTATACCCAGGGCCTGGTGCTGAAGTGTCTAAACAGGATTATCATATAGTGTCTTTCATGTTAAATGTGTGTATGTTTAGGTTGAGAGTCCTCACATTCTTCAGCCTGTGTGACAGTGCCTGGAGTTCCTGGGTGTGATGGAGCAGCTGGTGAGGTGCTGGGCGGAGGTGCAGTAGGATGTGGAGCACAGGGGAGCGGGTACGGACACACCGCCGTCCTCCACATAATTACTGGGTTTGTCAGACAACATCTGTTATGTCAGCATTCCAGCCGTCAGTCTGAGAGGGGGCCAGCCACATACCGCCTGTGCAGGTAACCCCACTCACACACACACACAGAGTGCACAAGAAGACCGGGAATAATACTGTCAATGTACGGTTTAAAAAGCAGCTATCAATACAGACGTATGAGCAACTTTAACATGTAAGGAAAGACAGGGATTTAGTCCTCCATGTTCCATCTCTGGTGCATTTGATAAAGATATTATGTAACTTTTCTGGTATAGGATCTGCCACCTGGTTGTCTCCACAGAAATGTTATTGCTTTGCCTGGAATATTCCACAATATAACCATAAAATGATCTATCCTGCAGTTATTAAAGCAGAACTATCAT